GACATCAACCAGCAAATCAAGTGTACAAAACCGTTCTATTTTCCAAATTCCTTTGCACATAATTGGGAATTCAGTCTGAATACAGTTTCGCTAAATGAAGAATACACTCCTGTACATCAACTGAATTTCCTGTTCTATCAACCACTTGTTTTATTTCTATTAACTTGTAGTGTTAAAGAAAAGAAGTGCCAAAAAAGAGTCATTTAGGTGCCAATGATCTTACTTTATGATTACTTGATAACCAACGCGGTTCAAAAGATAACAGAATCTCCCTTCTTTAGGATTTGCACCTCAACGACTCATCAATTTATGTTTTTTGGGGCTCCTTTTCTCCTACAATTCAAGCTTTTTTGGCTTTCCTTTTCTTTTATACTTCAAATCTTCATCCAAGGTTCCTCTATAGATAGAATGTAAACCTGATTTAGGGGCAGCCTAACTACCATAATGACTCTGTTGAAGCTGCAGTTTTCATCGGGACCCAAGACATCCCTCAGATCCAGAGCTATTCCCAACCAAAACGTTCTATCTATTGACCTGTGACAGTTTCCAACAAAAACAGTTTGCATCATTCTTTCTTAATTGTTGAAAACAAACTTTCAACTTTTATGAAGCTGCCCTAATGCTGGCCATATACGTAAAGATACAGAAACAGTCAACCGTAGATTAATCTATTTAACAAATAAAGGATCAATTTGTTTAAATGTGGTTGTTTTTGTGCAGATGGTCCTTTGCTATGAAAATTATTGCAGAGAAAAAGTTAATTCAATGCAATCCATTTATTAAAGACTCAGTCCTTTCACTGAAACAACTTTTTTATCCAACAAGCAAATAGTTATGTATATGGTCAGCATTATGACTACAACTAAAGATTTTCAGAGGATAAAAAGAGAAGTAGAAAACATTTTTGTTAAAAGATGAAAACAGATATAACATTTAAGAAAACAATTATCTTTCAAATAGTTTGGCAACGTTGTAACAAAAATTACTTGTTGATCCCTTTTCCTTACAAAGATGGACTGGTGGAACGATTGAGTTGGTAACTTCTAAAAACATGCTGTTAATTCCTCATCTATAAAGGTGTTAATATAAAAAAGGAATGTATTGATTAACTTTCCAGCTGGGGGCCTTTTTTAACAAAAAAAAGTTAGTGGTCCCATTGTTTTAATATTTGGTCCTTAATTGTAAAGGCAAACGTTTCATTTTGTAAACTATATGACGTGGTATCTAACAAGGCCCAGACAACAGGTTTACCACCATGATTGTATTACAAGTGTACTCATATCTCAGGCATATTGATTCTTACAGTCCGTCCACAAGTACAGGGATGACAGTTGTCCAGGCCAAGTCAATGATCTGGCAGTTTGTTTGCCATCTATTAACATAGAAGGCTTAATTTATTAGCCTGTCTGAAAGAAGAATTGACAATTTTTCTTCCGGACACTTCGAGAAATGAGGCATCTAGTCCTCTTCAATAACACAATGAATTTTAGATGATATAGGATACACTAGGCATCTGATCTGTGACTTGATGCCTACATTTCTTACAAGGCACCCTAAGGCCTAGGACAGCCTGGGGCCTGCAACTGGCTGGGAGGACATATTGGAAGCGAGGGATTTCTGAACGATGGTTGATACCATTACAGTAAAATGTAAATATGTAAACCAGCCAGAGAGAGGTAAAGTTGAGGGTGTAGTTAAGGCAGACATGGGATATTAAATATCCTGCCCAGGATTTCTGCCATGGTCTAACCCTAGACCATCTTGATCTATACAACTACTTTCCAAATAATGAGAACCATCTAGAGTTAAAAATAATGTTAATGAATTTGTGCTTTGCAAGGATGGAAGAAAGTGTAATTAGCAATCGTCATGCTCAAACGCTTTGACTTATTATTATGAGTTCAATGTCCTTATGTGTTTCATAAAAGGTTGAAAGAGAGTTTGTACGCTCCAATGAATTGAGGCCATATGAATGTGGAATTCCCCTTTAATTGGTTTGATGTAATCTGAGGTATGACTACTTATTGCAATGGACCAGGTGACCAGTTTGTTGAGCTCAGTCGGTGTTGGCTCTAGTCGTGCCTGTGCCACAAATACCAAGGCAAGTTGGTATGTGTTAAGTAAGTGCAAAAGTTGGCATAGTGTCCTGCCTGGAGAAATGAATTCCTAAGAAAGGACTGTGACAGTTCATTAGGTCTATTTTTTGTGCTGACATGACAGCAAAACAACCAGGAAAAACAAAACACAGCAAAGAATGGGAACAAAGATGTCTGTATAGAACACAGCACGATAAATCATACAACTCCTGTCTTTGCTGTGCTCTATGTCATCTCAATAACAATGCATCCTTTTCATCCAAGGTTATACTGTCAAACTTTGACAGGGATGTATTGGTTGCGAAAGCAGTAATGGCATAGGCAGGACAGGTGACATGATTCAGAAAAAAGAAGCATCGGTATTTCCATTATTGTGTGCTTGTGTTCATAATTCTTTGTGCTTTATCTATTTGTGCTTTAACCATGATTTAAAAAAAATAACACGGAAACTTATGCAATGACATGAGCCTCATCAAGTGTCTGGATATAAAAGTGTTTGTGTTCTCTATTGTGCTCCGATTCCTATTTTCAATTTCAAACCAGAACTCAAACACTTGGTCTTGGTTGGCTGGGGACAATATGGACACTTTCATCAAAGAGGTCCACGGCTTGTGTAGGAAATGGCATGGTACCTTATGGTATTCCAACCCAATCCCTCTAAGAGCCCATTCACAATGAGCGTTTATTCGTGCGATATTTAACCCGCGATATCGCGAGAAGTTGTTTGTCCTATGATTTTCAACGGAGCTGCTCTATTCTACAGCTCCAAGCCGCCTGTCGCTGTCGTGCGTCGCTTGTGCAGGACTCTGTTTGCCGCGGATGTCTCGCTATTCCGCTTGTACTTGCAAGCAGCCCTATTCGACCCGTTGTGCGACCATCGTGCAAAAATCGCGCAACTACGATCGCGCTGAAAAATCTACATGTCGCTCAGTTTGAATGGGGCCTAACTGATACCCCTGTTTCTTCAATGTGATCCTGATTTTCAAAGCCTGGAGTGGGACTTTGCCCAAATAAGTCAATTGACTATTTAGCCGGAATATAAAACTTCTGATTGGATACTAAAATTCACTGTGTGTACTGTGCAATTAAAGTGCAACTGAAGCCAATTTTTTTTTTTTCATTTTGAATAGAGTGGAAAGGGATTAGATTATAAGGCTATCTGTCTGAGGTGGTTTTCTCAGGCAGCATTTCATTGGGTCACGTCTCATTGGGTCTGGCCCCCTTCCAGTCAGATCGTTCAAAGTTACTAAGAGCTCTTAGCAAATTCTGATGCTCTATAAACAGTTAATTTCAAGCCATGCCAACTGTCAAGGTTGCCAGTGTGCTTATTTCAGCTCTCAACTGAACTTTTAAGCCCACAAATGGCTGAAGCACCATGGCAACTGTGATCTATATAGAGGCTGCAAAGCATGAGAGCTTGTATTTCCACTATAAATATCTAGGGTAGGGCGACCTTGGCGCTCCAGCTGTAGTGAAACTCCAAATCCCATCCTACCTCTGGCTCTGACAATCATGCCTGTGGAGGTCAGAGTCTTATAATGCCTCCTGGGACTTGTAGTTCCCCCAACAACCAGAGTGCCATGGTTGCCTTGCCCCATGGTCTAACACATTAACACTTTTTCAATGAAGAGATAAACCCTAAGCCCTCATTCACACGAGAAACGGACGCTCCGCACTGCATGCACGGCCATCTCGGGCAGCTCCCGGAAAGGACAGGTACTGCGTGTGATTAGTACTCAGCCCCCGTCCTTCTCTATGGGACTACGTGGCCGTACACCGCCCCACGTCTATGCCCGTGCGGGTGAGCGTACTCGTATGCTGGCAGGAGGGATCCTATCTGCGTCCGAGCCAGGAAACACACACCCGCACGGACCTGCACTTGAGGTGAGCATAGGGGGGCGTATGGCCGCGTAGTCCCATAGAGAAGGACCGGGGCTGCGTACTAATCACACCTGTCCTTCCCGTGAGCTGAGCAATATGGTTGTGCACGCAGCACAGAGCTGTACTTGCCGGCCGTTTCTAGTGTGAATGAGGGCTAATTCAGCAGTTCAGTAATCCATAGCAACCACATTTACTGCTGCAGTCCAACCAATACAACATGGATGTTAACTGGTTGCTAACCAGAACTAGAAATTATTTATTGTATAAGGCTTATTACCTTTCGACGCATGTGCTTTAGTAACCATGATGACTGTAAACCTTTTCCAAGGAGTAGTTTAAATATTGGAAAACGCAGGCAGATTTAAACATTGTGCTTCGAGTGATTGATGATAACAGCTAAAGGAACTAAAATATTTACTATGAAATAGCTTAATAAAAATAAATCGAAATAAAATATAATATTGATTTAAATATAAACTATAGTTAAGAATCATATTTATATACAAATCGGTAATGACATTTAGGCAGCTAAGGTAGGACACTTTAAGCAGTGTAAAAAAATGAATGATAATTGCTTTGTCTGTATCTATCTATCTTCAAATAAGGAATACGTTGCTGTTCTATAGTTCACATGGGGCTCCCTATTGAGATAAGTAGTCCCTCCTTATTTTCACAAGATTATATTGTTCGAGCCCCTAGGGGACTGTGCTTGCTAAAAGAATGAGCGTGATCTTGATGAGATATCGGTGCTATTGGTCATTCCGGGCAGGGTTTTCTAAGATAGAAATGGGACATAATGATTTGTAAATATTGAGAAGTATGATGTAAGACAATATGCAGATACACCAGCTCAGTAGTGTGCACTGTGTAAACATACTGATCACTGAGTAACAAGAGCTATGTAATACTATGAGGAATAAATGTAGATCCATTGAAGACATTGATAGGAGATCAACCATTGAACGGAATGTAGTGAACACTGTTCTGCAGACAGAACCCTCCCCGGTGCTGCAGGCTTTTACATATTTTGTTTTGGTTACCTGAGTCCATACAACGAGGTGCGAGCTCACACATCACAATCGTACATTCTCGACACCCCGGATTGATCGTTGGTCTGGTATTCCACTTTTGCATATTGCGAAACACGGAGGCCCGAAAAAAAGGTATTTCTGTGCTGTGGCAGTAGATATTATTGTGTGGGGGGGTAATGGTGGTTATGAGACAGTCATGTCATACTGTAGGTTGACTCTCTTCACGAAGACATGGCTGCAGCGGTAGGCTTTCCGAACTCTTACGCTTCCTTAGTCTCCTCCACAACAACGTTGAAGTCTGCTGTTTTGCCGTTGTTCGCCAGTGTTACCTGAAAGCAATCAGGGTTATGGTCTGGTTTAAAAGAAAACAGCATAGGCCCTGCGCTACCTGAGATGTAATATGATTGTCTATTGGTCTTCAGAGCTAAGAGGCTCCCACGTATGGTGTGTTCAGTGCATGTGAGAGATGTATAGTGCTGGCGATAGACAGTATTTTTTATTAATTAGTGCTGAAAGAGATAAAAAAGATTAGAATTTAAGTGTTAAAGTGGACCTGTTCCCTACATATTGTGAATGCAGCCATTTTGAAGGGGCACATCAAGTAGAGCTATACTGGTAAGTGAGAGACTTGGGTCTGTCAATATAGCTAGAGTCTAGGGTTGCCACCTGTCCAGGATTCACCCGGACAGTTTGGGTTTTGAATGCTGTGTCCGGGTTTCATGGCAGCAGAAACCCGGACACAAGATGTCAGGCAGATAGGGGAAACCAAAATTAAGATAGGGGCTACTGGCCCCCCACTGAAAATAGTTTTTGATAGTTTTTTATATAGTTTTTGATATTTACATATAAATTGGTGGCGCTATTTACATATGAATAAGCCACAGCTCATTCTCCCCCAAAAAATGTCCGCGTGTCGCTAGAGTGTTCGGGTTCCACTTGAAGAAAAGGTGGCAACCCTACTAGAGTCGTATGTTGCCTCAATGACGTCACAGCTTCTTAGCCAACTGGTGGGTTAAGTATCTCTTTACCAAACAAAGTGGACACTGTCACAATATGGAAGTGTCAGGTTCTTCTTAGCATTAAAGGACCACAATGCCTTAAATCCAAAGCTGTGCATGTTAAAGTCCCTCTTGGTCATAGATTTGGAGAGAGCCACAATCAACAGGTCCAATTTGGGAATGACAAAAAAGCTAGGCCTTACTTATTTCGCTTGAAATCAGGAAGGGATACCTTATATAGACCATTGTGTTGATTTACTAAAGGTATAAAGGATGTTGGCTTTGTAAGGGAATGTGCATTTTGCAAGGAAGGTTTCCTCTTAGCTTAGTGAATGTGGTGAAATTTCACTGCAAAGAAATCCCAATCACAAACATTGAAAATAAAAAACTGTATTTTTGCTTCCACATGACTGGATGATAGAAGCTATCACCTCGTTCACCCAGCTAAGGGGAAACTTCCCCTAAATTAGCTTGCCAACTAACAGCCTATTTGCCTTTAGTAAGACAACCCCCATATCTCAGCCACAAGAGCATGACAGCACACAGTAGGACCAATTGGGGTGGCAGCCCCCAAAAAACTACTGATATATTTAGAGGAGGAACTGGAGCAAACCCAGCCAAAGATTGGGGGGGGGGCATACAAACTCTCTACAGATAAAATTGTTATAGCATGGTATGTCACATGTGACACTGCTAGGCCAGTCAAGATGGGCCCATGCTGCAATTTTTACTCTGAGGGTACATATTGTGGGAGGATGGGGTTCCCCAAGCGCTCTGCAAGGACGTGGAGTCAAATTAAGGATATACCCCGGGACTTTAAAATACCTTTCCTAAAAAAGTTAGTGAATTAGATTTTTATGTCTGAGTATGAGTATGTGACTTCCCAAATCTGGCTCTACAGCAGTGCTCCCATGAGCAGCATTCAGGATTGGAGAGGGAGGGTTGACACTTTTTGCCAGTCAATTAGTCTTCTGCATTGCACAATGCTGTCAATCAACCTTCTCGAATATGCTTATAGAAAGGAGAAGCTGAGCGAAGACTTCATCAGTATTCTGGTGCTCTCTGTTGTCCAATCATCAGACTACTCTTTCTGCTGCCCCAATGCCAGGTTCCTCAATGCGCCCTCCTGTATGCAGGCTGCATACAAGTGATCTTGGCGACATGGCTGAGATCACTTGTAGAGAACAAGCGGCAGCTTCCCCGCTGTACAATTAGTCCTGCTTGCCCAAAGCAGGGCTAAATGTAGAAAACAACTACCTGCCCTGCATGTCCTGGGCGTCGGGAGATAGGAATTCCACACCCCCTACTGCCCCTCTACTCCCTGCTGCCCCCAGACTGGGCCTCGGTTGGCCTTGTGGGAAATCCAGCCCTGTTCATGACTTAACTGGAGTGGAGAAAAGTGAGGTCACCGACCTAGCTATGCTATCTGACAGGGCTGCCTAGATCACAAGCCTGGCTAAACAGAATTACAAATCGTACAGCAGGTAAAGCAGTCCCCTTATATCAATTTTAAATGTGTGGTCTGCCTGAAATCTAACTTTAAGTTTCATGCACCCTGGTTTAATTTTTTCATATTATTAGGGTATGGAGATTTTTTCTATATGTACAATATATATTTAATAGTTTAATACAATAATAATAATATATTTAATTTATAGTTGGAGACACCGAAGAAAGAAAGTGCGCAGGAAAT